AAGAAAGGCCGAGTATTATAAAAGACATTTCAAGTTAAATTGAATCCATTTAGATAGGGCACCTGGCCATTTTGTTTGTTTTTGTACCGACCACAAGTAAAACAACAAAACGACAACCTACACTTGGATATCGCACCTGTAGACTGGGACGCCAGTAATAGATGTCGATATAAGGGAAAAAAATTGCGAAACGGTTTATGATCGACGGTTTACAGCCACATATGTTTATGAATATCCGAATTTTACTCGTTTTGTTCCTTTTATTTCTCCTAAAATTTGATATTTTAGACAGTACTCATCAAACAAAGAAAGGCAACAAGTTTTGGGAACCATGCTTCGAAGAAGAGGAGAATTTTGCTCATTGTTCAAGCTCTGATAAGACGTGTGCGAAAGACGATCATTTTAAGCTTGTTCGGTTGCCAGGGATGCGGGTGAGCAAACGTGTTTTATAATTTACATTCATTGAGTCAACAATTACAGAAGAAAAACTTTCGATTCTTCTTTTGCATAAAGTATCTTTTTTGTCGTTATATTTTGCTTCCATACCCCATAAACAATCGGCGGTTCATGGGAACTGACTAAGGCGATCACGTGGTTAAACAAATTAAAATGGCTTGTAGTTTATGGCACTAGAGGCTGAATGAATGATAAACCAAAAATTATGCTTACAATAATTAACAATAGTTAAAGATAGAAAGTTGTAAATCGAGTTTCACACACTAGGCGATCACAGAGACTGAATATAGTATTGCATGAGTACCTAGTATAGGCAGAGTTTAGCTGTAAATGTAAAATCCAAATTCAGGACCCACTAGAGAGACTCTGTGTAGAATATGTTTTCATGACGGCACTTCGTGACCAGTTCAGTTCAGATAAAATCGATGAAGTTTGAAACAGTGCGAATTCACTTTTTAAGTGACGTTTTCGGTTTGTTCTCATCCCGAAATTTTTCTACCATGGCAACGTGACGTAACGACTTCTCTCTCTATATAATTATATTACAGACGGGTCACGTGAGTTGGTTGGAACTAGAAAAGGGAAGAAAGTACAAATTAATCACAAGAGCAATGAGGCCTTTGTTATTTGGTAAGTTGCTTTCATCTCATTGCCATTTAATTGAAACTGAAGCAGGAGAACGATATATATACGAATTTTATAGCCTAATTTTGCATAGTAGCAAACTTAAATCAGGGTCTGCAAAAATGTTCCTCTTCGCCGCTCATTGTCAGTCCTCTTTAAAAAAACAATAAAGCACTCAGGAATTGAGAATATCTTTTCATAAAATTCAACGCTATCTTATAATCGCCAGTGTCGACAAAATATTCAACTTTTTGTTGCAGAGATTCCATCTTTTTTGTCTGACGAAGAGTGCGACCATATTATATCACTTGCAAAGAAAATAGGCCTCTATCCCAGTGTTATATCACGTGATCAGTTCCGCAAAGAGGAGTTAGAAAAGGCTATGCAAGAAGCTGGTATGTACTCCTAGGTAAATTGAGTATTATATGATGTGAATAAATTAAATGTGGTGCTGTCTTGGTGATGGAATGAGACACAATAATTAAACACTAACCAGTAGAAAAAATTGAAAAGCTTCAAGTTTCAAGCGCTACGGGGGCATCCAACGACCTTTTTTGGTAAAATAACTGTTCGAGGATGCAAATATTGGCTAAAGATTTCTAGTAACCATTCACCATTCTATTCCTCTGTGATATTCGGGGTATTTCTACTAATTTACTTAAGATTTTCAAAGGCTAGGTTACGTTCTTCACATTTCATTACCAAGATACTGCGATTATTGTTAGAAATAGGTAACCTAAAAATTTCGGTATAAAGTGAAAGACAAAACGCTTCCTGAAATTTTCTTTTGAAAATATTGCTATTCCCTGACCTCGAACTTTCGACCGTACCCAACAGGGTAGTCAAAGGTCTCTGATGAAAAGAAAAAGCCAACTGAAGCTTTCGAGACGGCCAAAGTTTCCTGTAAGATATCCGAAGAGAAAATTTTTTTAGAGCAGCTTCAAATTAACCAAACAGCTGGCCTAAAGCATAGAAAAAACCATTCAGAGACTTCTGACATATTTGGAAACATTTAGTCGTTGGGTGCCCCTCGCGCTTACAGCTTCGTCAGAGGGATTCGCTGTGACTTAGAATGCTTAGTGTTTTTCTTTTTTCGAACGAAGGACTTTTTAAAAAATGACGTTTAAGTTTCAGCAATAAAACAATCAACGTTCAAGAATGGTTTTCAGCTGAGTGTAGGATATGAGCTAAAACCAAGCTAATTATTCTAGCCAATCCCGATACTAGTAGATAATAGAACGAATTCAAAATGATCAGAAAAAGCAGCAAAAACATGAACATGTACCTGATTGGAAGAGGTTTTTGTTATCGACCAATGGCATTTTTTTGTGTTTTTACTGTCCTTCATTAAGCGAGCAAAAAACTGATTGTAAAAAAATTTCTTTCAGCTCGCTTTTATCAGTATGAAAGCCAACGGTCAGGTTAGGGTTAGGGTTAAACCAAAAACTCAACTAGTATTACTGCAACTTTTGTTTGCTTTAAGACAGCAACGCAACCCTTGACGCCAAAGACAGTGTTGCTCAAGATTTCAACACATGGGATATTGATAAAGATGGTTTTATTGATAATCTAGAGGTAAACAGCTCATTTAATGGTTTTGTTCTTTCAGCAAATCCAAAAGTCAAATGGATTTGCTTTTGCCAGAACTTTGATCCGCAGAATGTTAGTTTTCATAAAACCAAAAGTAACTGGAGTTGTGAGCTAGATATCTAAATTGAAAATTGGTTATGGCTATGTAATATTCTCATAAACGAGCACATCCTTTAGATGAAGAAAGTATGCCCGTGAAGGCTTTTTTTTTTCAGGGCCCGGCCATTCCGCAGTGTTTAATTGGATTATTAATATTGATTAATTACAGTCGACTATCTCTTAACAGATACCTGTTAAGATGGCCTATGTAAAACAGACACCAAGAGTCGCGGTCCCTGTCTTTATTTGCTCCCTTTATTTGACTCTCTAAAACGGACACTTGGTGTCGGTACCAAAGGTCTCGATCTTAGAAGGAGTTGACTGTATTCTATTTCCAAAACTATATCCGTATAGCCCCGCTTGTGGCAGTACACCGCCCCACCCCCCCACCTCTGGTCTCCACCCGGGCATACACACCAATTTTCAGCAACACCATCCGGTAAACATATCTGTCAGATCCTCTAATCATTTTCACTGAATAATGAACTTACTTAAGTACACTTTTCGCTGTTTACATGCACACTTGTTTTATTTATGTACACTTTCTTTACAATCGATATCTCCGTTACAGATTAAAATATTTGCCGAAAGGTATAAAGCATTGCGCTTAACAGACGAAGAAGTGAACGAAATGTAAGCATTGACCCAAATTAATCTTGACTAAATCTGTTGTTTAAAAATAATGGTAATTAAGTCTGTTTGAAATAACGTCCTCTCTTTGAAAGGATAAGGCGTACCGCAATGGCTGATTACCTAACAGAAGGTAGGATAAACTTGTCTGTATTTTTTTGTAGTCAAAGTAATTCATAATTTAGTAACCTTTAAATGCAAACGTAAACAACTAAATTTGGATTTATTCAATAAACGTAATTTTTTTATAATTTTATAATTAATAAAAATCTGAGGATATGAATTAAAGTATTCAAACACAGTCGATGCAACGGTTACTTTAAAATCTCTAGCTTAGAATACGAAACCTTAAGTTCATTATACACTGTAAGGCTGCGTTGACAAACTTGGTGTTTCACCGCTTTGTGTGTCAGTTTAACGTGATAAACAATTTTCAAATGTCGTTGTCTTTAGGAAAGGTATCGTCTACGCTTTTTCGTCAATGGAACTTGAAGAAAGCTCTTTCGTATATGGCTTACTTGAAAAAATCAAGCGCTCAGCATAGTTTTCGCTTTAGTGATCAGGCCTGGTTAAGGCAAGACAGAACAGCTGATCACGTGTTAAGGCGGCTTCATGAAAGGTAGGTGCAGTTCAACTTATTGAGGTCGAGAGGATAGAATTGGTGGACAAATTTTGTCGAGAGCAGCGAAGTTACGAGATGTGCAGTTTTATTATTATAGAATTGCGATTGATCAAGCCTTAAATTCACGAGCCTCCTTATAATTTGTGCAAAAAATAACTTCAATTACTCTTTCAACGCTGATAATATTAGCCCTTAAGATCCGACGACGGCAACGAGAACGAGAACGTCAAAAAAGCACTAACAACAATTTGCACTTGCATCACGCACGACTACGACATGAAATTGCCTATTTTCTCGATTTAGGGAAATTTCTTCTCTCTTTCTGAACTTAGATATGGTTCTTAGGGATTCAGCTTTAGGAGGGTTAACCTACATTTGACAAAGTTAGTGACTTGGAGTAACTGCTATGAAGATTGAAAGAACGCGAATTCACTTTTTCGGCGACGTTTTTGCTGCCGTCGCTGTTCCTGGATCTTAAGGTCCCTAATTTATCCGGGGTGTTCTGAAACCTTCAAATTTTGTTTTCCAACCCAGTTCGAAACATTGCCATAAAAATGCGTTTTTATTTATCTAACTGGACTCCTTTTCTATAAATCTAAGTTTTAAGCAAAATCATCTTGTTTCATTCAAATTCATGACATGAATGTACATGGCGGTAAAAGTGTGCTCGGCATATATTTTATCCTGCTCTTTGATATGGGTGTCATATAATAAGGCCTAAAAGATGGCTCATTAATTTCAGAATTATCAAGCTGACAAAACTCCCAAGAAAAATAATTCAAGGAAGCGAAGACATGCAGGTAAAAATCATAGTTAAAATATTAGCGGAGCCCAGTAGCTAAGAAAATTTGGTTATCTATTCATTCGAGAAATTTTGGCAGTCACGTGACATACCGCAGGGAAACCAAACCACACGTTCTAGCTAGTAGTGTGGAAGCCTGCAATGTGATATTGCACATCCATGTTGTGGTCAATTGACAGCTGTCAAAACAGGGTATCCGCTGACCAGTATCACATGACCATATCGCGAGCTCGAGTGTCGATCCAAAGAGGTTACGTGCTTTTTTGAAGTCCTCTGCTGATAAGTTACTAGTTTTCACCTGATCGCAGGCTCAACTCCTTGAGGATTTCTTTGCAATGGTTCATATTTGTTTTTTGGAAGTAAATTATAAATTCGCCGTTAGTCCCCTCGCCCTTAGCCTTTGGTCCTCTTCATTAGAATGCGTTTTATGTGATTAACACTGATTATTGTGGTTATTTCACTAAAAGAGAGTATGTACCTTATTCAGGTCGTTCGCTATCAAGCATTTGGACATTATCATGCCCACTTTGATTCCGGCCTGGAACTTAACACCCCGTGTTGTCATCAAAACCCTTCGTTAAGGCCTCCACAATGCCGCATTTGTAGGTAAGTTCAACCTACATGCAGTTAAGCAAAGTACATGAACTCCGTTTCCAGAGAAATTCACTTCTAAGCACAACACAACTGAATTTGCCCGTGCAATGCAATTTAGCATTTTGGCTTAATGCGCTGGTAAGCCCTAACCGTTTATGCGACAGGGCACTCCGCCAGGTCAGTCATATACAATATAGTGCGTTCCAGAAACAGAATCATGCTTCTCCTTAAATGGAAAAGAGGTTGCAGATAGATAGATAGATAGAATGAAGATAAAAATCTAGAACACGCCTTGGATTCAGGATTCCAGGCACTGGATTCCAGTCTTTGTCAGTGGAACCTGGACTCAAAGATTCAATTTCTGTCGTGGACTCAGATTTTTTCTTTGTCCCATGCTCGTAACTTGTTGATCACATCATTTCTCAACATGATATTGTTGCAGAAACCAAACAACCATCCGGCAGCAGAAGAATAAATGCACTAAATGGTTGATGCTCTATTTGGCGTACGGAACATGTAGCCATAAAATTATCAAAGACAGTTTCCTCAACTTTGTTATTCAATAAACAGTTAGGAAATCGTATTTTTGTCTCGAATATTCTGTGAGGTACACGTTATCACCAAGAAGGAAAAGAGCAGATGATACTCAAGATCCGAAGCCTGTGTTTTGTACACAGTGTTTTCTAACTCTCAAAAACTATTGCTATTAAAACCGCGCTGGTTACCACTCTTACGTCAACATTTACTTATTTGAGTGGGAAAGTCAAACCTCTAAGAGATGAACCACTACAGGCAGCTTGAGATGTTTCAAAGATATATACAGATGCATTCTAATGAGGCTGATAAATCTGTATTTGCAGGTTCATTACGATTCTCTATTACCTCAATGACGTCGAGCAGGGAGGAGAAACAGCATTTCCAGTAGCTGACAATTTCACAGTGAAATGGAAGGTAGGAGATTCTTATATTGCCCGGCAATCCCTTGTAAATGTCCAAGGTGAAGAAAAGTGTTAGTGGCTTGCTGTCCACTAGAATATTTGTAATATTGGAACACACGGAACCAAAATTTCTGCTCAGCCCGTAGGTTTGACTTGTTAATGTTTAACTAATCAGTGTGCAAATTATACTCACGTAACAAATTACGGTGTAAATTTTGTCAGCACTCGTGTTTACTAGAGTTTAACAGATATTCGCAGTAAATGTCACTCATAGGTCCGTGGGCGTAAAGAAGAAGTGTTCTAACTGCAATTGCAATGAGCAATAAAGAAATAAAATTCACGATTTCATGTCATGCGGCTACAGTATCTGAATTTGTTGGCTTTTTATTTCCTCCTAGGACCTTGAAAATGCAGAAGCGGTTGAATATAATCTGAGTATAAACTGTCATGCAGCCAACTTGGTTATTCCTCCCAAGAAAGGCACCGCTATCATGTGGTACAACAACTTCATCGACGCGGACAGCGGTCTTCTTGGAAAACTTGACCGAAATTCGTTGCATGGTGGATGTGATGTAATTAAGGGGGAGAAGTGGATAGCTAACAACTGGCTGACAGCGCCTACTGAAAACTCCAAATACCTTAAAAGTTCTTATGATGTTGGATTCAGCGACTAAACAATGCTTAAGTTTATTTTCATGCTTGTCAAATGGCATTTTTGTTTATGTACGAGTAAAGTTTCTAAGACAATAAGGGTTAGTTACGAGTAACTGGGAAATAAACTAGACAGTCTGGAAGTAAGGATTATGTAGCCGTGTGGCGGAATTGATACACTCTTCTGGTCTCCCAGGTCCCTCCGCTTAGCTTTGAGTAACTACTACTGAACTTACCATCACCATTGACACACTTTATTTTGAAGGAAATTTCCTGGCCTTTCACCGAACACCTTGAATTGACATTTAGAGACCCTATATGACCCTTGTAATCCGGTCAAATCTCTTTATTTCATACAACAAAAAAGAGAACTTGCGGTTATGACGAAAATTGGTCGAGGCGATCATTGCCTCCTTTAGAAAAGAAAACCCGACCACAATACAATTAAAGTTGTATTTGCGGCATTTATCAGCTGTTTTGCCTGTTTGTTCACGTGTGTAGTTGGTTCCCTTTGATCCCTTGCAAGGAAAAGAAAATAATAATAATAAAAAAATAAACGAATTCGATCTGGAACACCCAAACACTTACTAACTGTTTAGCCTCTAACGTGAGCCGAGGTATGAGCGAATTTATACGTGACACCATTATATTACAGTGGGAGATCCAGACCTTCAGATAAGGGGGGGGCGGTCATCCAGACCCTGCATGAGATAAGGTGGGGAGCCGGTCTCAAAAAAAATTCTTTTTCGGCTCTTCGGGCCTCAGCTTGGTCTAAAAATAAGGTGGGAAGGGCCACACGCGCGGGCCCCTCCCCTGGATCCGCCACTGTATTATTACAAGTGGCTGGAACTCGCCCTTTGGATTTTTTGTGTGTTACAAGAAAGGCTGTGATGAGCTTTGCCAAATAAGTACTAAAGCCTTAAAGTTTTCTCAACACTCTCGTCAACACTCGTAACCATAGTAACCAGCAATTCACCAAAGATTTATCAGGATGCTTTTTAGAAATAAGGTGCTACTTAAGACAACTGCTTTGTGGTTTGAAAAAAAAAAGCCCCTTGCGGCTAATTAATAATTAAAAGTGGTACAATCATACCTTGCTATGAGGCAGACAACGCAGTTGGTCAACAGAAACAAAAGGAGTTAGTTGTATGACTAAAAGTGGTGATTCCTTTCTTTTTAAGGTCCTACTGAGTTGTTCGTGTCCCAGCGAGGAGTTGTTTTGTGCCACGTGATTGTCTAAGGAAAAATGAGGAAACCCTGGGGGGGGGAGGGAATTTTATCCTCAGTCTTATACGTCTAGCTACGGAGTTTGCGGGTAAACAATTCACGCATTTGGAAGGTATGCGTATCACATAGTGGTATGATGTAAGTGCCGGACCGCACTTTTATTTACGCAACAGTTCATTAAAATCCACACTCACGGTTTAAGCTTTACTAACGGTTAATCGTTCTCTATCAATGTACTATTCAACTCAGATACTTTTATATATCAACTGATGGTCTCTATTTTCAACGTATCTTTCATCTAGAGGCTTTCAAAATAAAGTTAAAAATTTATTTCAAAAAATACAACTTTCAAGTCTCGATTTATCCACTCTATCTGATAAAAACAAAAATAACTGAAAGGAATGTGCATAAATTTGAGAGTCTTCTGCCTGAAAGAAAGGGAATGAAACTACTCAGTTACATGCGTCAGAGAATCGATATCAATCAAACCCAGCATCGAACATGCTCTTGATGTGTCTTGATTGTTTAGTGGGCGCTGTGAGCCAGTTGTTAGCAATCCACTTTTCCCCTTTAATGACGTCACAACCACCATGTAGTGTGTAATGATCCACTGCACCAAGAAGACCGCTGTCCGGGTCGATGAAACTGTTATACCACATGATGGCGGTACCTTTCTTGGGGGCAATAACCAAGTTGGCCGAGTTACAATTAATGCTCAAATTAAACTCGTCTGTTGCGGCCTTTGAATTATAAATGTCCTGGAAAATAAAACAAGCCCATTCATCGTTTCCAAAATACAACTAGAGACATGCATGAGCGTGAAAAAGTAATGTTAAAGAGAGCGTTCACACCTTTGTCTTTCACAGACAAAAAGTTTAGTCTTGTTCATTTAGAACTAAGCGAAATATTGTAACATTTTTTCCAAAATCTCATCAATGAAATACAAAGATTAAGCCTACTTACATGATAGTTTCTTACAGTGCAACAACTTTAACTGGGGCCATACCGACATTTTCAAATTTTGAACGAATTACCAAGTCAGGCTCCTTTAATATTATCATAAACGTCATCCCGTGATTGGCGATTGATTTTAACTGAGCTTGCCCGGTTGAGTTTGTTGTACTGTTAATCATGTGTTTCTACCGTGGTTTTTCTCTTTTCCTTTCCTTTACTTTTAATAAACCATTTTCGAGGTTCCAAAAACTCTAACTTTCAAACGAGGCTACGTGCAAACCCTTTTTTTGTAAAAATGATTTTTTTTTTAATGAGAATACATAATCATTTTCATATCAATGACTTCGGGCTTAGGCTCGCTTAAATTCAGAATAAAAATCATTTTTAATTTAGGCAATCAATAAAAATTTAATAATGCTTTGTTTATTTCTCCGAACAAGTTTTCAAACCTCAGGATCGATTGGGAGTTAAAAACAAAAAAAATATTTCCAAAAACTGCCGAACTACAATTGATGTCCTCAATAAAGAAGACGCTTAACTTAATAAAGACTTACATGTGGAGTTGTTGTGGTGTTGTCAGCAATTAAAAAAGCAGTTTCGCCACCTTCTTCCACGTCATTCAGGTAATACAGGATTGTAATAAATCTGAAAAAATTAAATTTTACCCAAGAGACAGTTGTCGCGTTCTACAATAACATAGTTTTTTATATATATAATCACATTCTGGAGTGATCTGTACAAAATTAACAAGACTGAAAACATCGCTACCTTAGTGGTAACTTTGACACTACTGCTTTGGCTAGGCTTTCATTCCTCCTCGTATAAAGGCCATCATAGGGAGTAATAATAAAAACCAGGAACAGCTGACACTACAGCTGCCCCCGCTCTGTATATTGTCGGTCAATAGCATTCTTGCTCGTTGTGTAGCTCTTTGATATTTACCGATTCATAATGAAGATTTTCACACATATTCCATACAATAGGTGAGATAAATACAGGAAACGTAAGGTTCCATGCACAGTTTCAGTTCGATTTATACAGCTTTGATCAAAACATTCTCAGTTTCCAGAATAGTTTATTTCAAACCATAAGAAACGATTTCGCTATTTCTCTTTCACTTTTCACATTCAGTTGATTTTATTTGCAGGAAAGTAAGCCTTAGAAATTAAAAGGACGTTTGATTAATTCACGCTCGCGCATTCTATTCTTATTTTAAACTTTATAGCAGAAGGACCTCTGTGAGCAGGGAAGAAGTCAGCACAGAATTAGGTTGTCTGCGAATTTCTGTAATCGTCCATCGTTCTGCTAGTGATAAGCTAGCCGTTGTTCACTCGTCTTGCTTGTTTGGGGCTGAGTCTTATTCCGGTCAAAGAGAGAGAGAGAGAGTGTCTGGCAAGGTTTCCAATCAAATAATTGTGAACTCGTGTCCGGCAAACTCTCCAAGTGTTTATATATACACAGTTTTTAGTAAAATCCAAGTAGTGGTCTATAATCAATCCTGTGTTCTGATTGGTTGAGCTACTACAAGGTTATATGTTATAACCCACTAGTAGCGAAAAGCGCCGGATTTTTGGCGGCAAAAAAGGATTAAAGTCTTGCTTTAAGTTGTTTTGTCTCGATATTTTTGATCAACTAGTTGGATTTTACTAAAACAATTATTCCTCTCGCCCTCATGGCCTCTGAGTCAATAGCCCATTCGGCCCATATTAAGAAATATTTATTCAAAAAAAAAAAAACATAATTAAAATGAAATATTTATATATATATATTTTAAACTACTCGTATTCTGGGTAGAACGTATTTCGTAGAGCGCTCAATTCATTTAATTGAAGAGCCTTGACTATTAATAATCACAGGAGTTCAAGCTTCAGGAGTAATCATCGATCTTTTATTGCGACAGTTCTGTTTCGTATGGTCCGAAATTGTAGGACCACACTCATCAGGCAACTGCAACGATTGATCGTTAAAATTAAAAGCTAGCGGTAAAATTTGGGTGGTTGTTATAGAGATGCGTTAAGAGATTTAATCTAGGTAACAGATGGATTTTGTCTTAGCTACGTTACTTTAGAGTTCTGAAGTACATATCTGTTTCTGTGGGGGTATGAACTCGCTAGTTTAGGCTACAAAGCTCTTTTTTACAAATGATGGTATGAAGAACTTTTTATAAAGACAAAGATTACATTTTTTGCTAATGTTTCTATAGGGTTTGCATTTCTTTAAAACTTTCCATTTTATCTGGAAAGGTTTCTTAGAGTCTTATTGAGTCCAAATATATTTTGAGAGTTCCGTTTCATTTCTTCTGTTCGAACGTAAAAGCTAAAGTAACCCCCGCCCCAGGCGGTCTCGGTGGATAACACCCTCAGCTACAAAGAAAAAAAGTTGCTTTAGGAAATTTTGGATAGCCTAGAACCTGCAGGTTCCGCAAACCACCGCTCTCTTTCACTTTCTTTCGGTTCGCTCACAGATTTTTTATGCCGTATTTGTTATTTTACAGCTGAGCCTGGTCCTATGCTAATTTTGGAGGACGTAAAACGAAATTCTACACTTAATTTATTGTCAACAGCGATAATTGATCCTTTCCAACTTGGATGAGGTCTCTAGCAACAGGACTGTGTGTACCACGTACAATTTCAATATAGTCACCTGCAGACTCTGCAATCTGTTGCCCTTAAGTAATTTTGATGACAGCAAGGGACTGTGGGACCGTTAACCGTAGAGTCCAGATGCGCGTGATAGTGGCCAAATTTCTCATATCGTACAATCTGACAAAATGAAGTTCGTAATTATGATTAATTATTAAATAATCACTGCCGCCAAACGTCTCCAATAGTCCAATCTGGCGATTTGAAGTTTGTAATTATGCATGATTATCAATTTTTTTATAGCCAAACGTCTCGTATCGCACATTAGAACAAAGTGAAGTTAGTTATTATGTTAATTACCTTTTATAATGAGGAACAGAAAGTAAAGAGTGCCTTTGAGAAGCCAAAACAGGGGAGAAATCTTCAATTCTGGTTTGACCGCGGGGGGTGACATTCTTGACACCAGAGCTCTTCTCAGTTGCGCATGACTATACGCAGCCACAGGATTCGAAGGCTCTGGTGACGAGATTGGGGTGGTGACTCACTGTAAGAAACTGACCCCTAGAGGGGGTACTCATCGATGTCTTATACGGGGAGGCTCCTCCCTGAGTCCAGCCCCTGACCCTTTTACGTGCCATATATAACAGAAAAGGCACTACTTTTTAATTAGCATAGCTTCCATTGAAAAATGATGCCACTTTCACATACCTACTTGATACAGTAATCCTTATCATTATTTTTACGAGGCATTTGACAAATGAAATTGATTGGACCATAAGATGTGTGGGTTCGAAACATAATAGAATTGAATATCCTTTTAATTTTAGTTTAAAATGGACAACTCAAGAAATTCCTACCCTTCTACCCTTTTTGATTGATTGATTCGTTAAGTGATTGAATGATTGTAAAACATTGTCAGTAACGGCTACTTTTTATCTTGCAAAGAGATGTAGGTTACTTTTGGTAGCATTTTCTAAACTTATTTAACTCTTTCTAGCATAAAATTCACCTGCATCGGTTCTCCTCCTTGGACGATTTTCCTTGGAAGTTTGGTAAGCCTTATGACTCTATGAAATATACAATTTTTCCTTAAATTCTTCGTAAACTGAAACTATCAATCATCTTCTTATAGCGTTAGAAGGCTGGAGTAATATTAATTTCATGCAGAAGAAAGAGCAAATATTCAAATGTTTTTAATAGTTTGAGTGAACAAGGCCAGTTCAAGAGAGAATAACTGAATCGACGGGGAGGCAATCTTAGGGCGTTGGCAGGGAGATGTGAATTTCACTACAATTATTTTTAGAATCTCTAATTCTCTCTTGGCCAAATACAGTCTTTACCACTGACAACTTTCATACAGCGATCTTCCCATCACAAACGGTCATCCTTTTATTAAAAGCCAGGAACCAAAATCCTAGCGGGCAAAATGTTTGTAATCCGTTCAGATTCAAAAAACCTCTATTCGCGGCCACTTAAAGCATTTCACGCTTTGGACGTCGGCCATGCTGCCAGTCGAGCGGATGGCACAGCAAAAACGACCTCACGGATAACCTGTGGGTTTCCACTGTGGGCGTAATTTTTACATGCACATACGCATAGAATTTTTGTGGGTAAATAAAATAGAGCCAATGCATGAAAGATCGCGCATAAACGTAAAATTTGAGAGAGGTTCATTTCCTACCTTTACGGGCGACCTTTTTAAACACATTGCCTGTAATTCATTTACACGCGTAAAATTTACGCGGCAGTTGAAATCCGCCTTAAGGGTTAAAGGGGAAACAATTGCGTTTTTCCTCAATTTTTTTAAAAATAGAAGGCCATAAATATTAGAAGGAACTCATCAAGTGCAGCGCATTAAGAGCGAATGTGAGTAAATATCGACCAGAGGTCTACAAAAGTGAAAAATCGAAAATTCTCAAAAAAATTCAAAAAGTAGCACTAGGTAAGCTATTAACATAAATGTAATTTTTACTTCGATCCGATAATTCTTTTCCACGTACGGGGGGGTTATTGGTTTTGCGGCTCTCGGACCGGGTTTTCCAGGCCCGAGACCATGTGTCGCAAAAAAATCGTTTTAAAATTCAAATCCATTGTAATGCGGACAACAAATAACTTATTCAGAAGAGTACATAATTGCACACATTTTAAGTGGTGATTTACTCAGTTTGAACGAAAGTGTAATATTTTGGAGACTTTTCATTATTTTCAATATTTTGAACGTTTTCGTTCAATGAAAAAATGGCAAATTTCAAAGCCCAAAATCGTCGACTGGTACCTCGATTTCAGTAACGAGTCTTATACCACGTTAAAGAGCATTATCTCTTCTTTCAAAATCTGTTTTCAAAACTACGGGCAACTTAAAAGAAAATGTTTGAGGCCAAAAAATACTAGTAGTACTTTTCTGAAATTTGAGCTTTCCAGACTCAGCGGGTCGATGCTAAAAACTCAGAAAAATGCAATAAGAAATCAGTTTGAGCAACAGTGATTTAACGTTATCAGCTATCAGAAATCAACACGTGTTTATCGAGTGATCTGATAAAATTTAAAGCCGTTTTCCAACAAGAAAAGCAGAGTTTAGCCATCTTCTGCTACCAAACGCACGAGTGACGTAAGGTTGTCAAAGGGCAAAACACAATAAAATAATTAACTTCAAAAAGCACAACGTTTCTGCGTCCAGGAATTAGACTTTAGCGGACAGAACAATGCCTACGAGTGTATGTTTCATACCTTAGCATGGGTTTCCTAGATACTGGAAATAAAAAACATCAAGGACAGCATTGGCAAGAGCATCTTCGGTTGCTCTCAAACGACGGAGATTGCATTACTTTTCACAGATTGACCGCTTACCACCTGTTTTTGGGCTCGCATTTCGAGGGAACGCTTGCCTCGAGAGGCGCGCGGCACGGATCTGAACTCTTCTTCACGAGACATTGAGCCGAATTTATCGGAAATATGCCACCACCACCAACAACATGAGCTTTTTTCGGGTATTTGTGGTTTTTTTATGCGAAAAGTTCGGGTAAGCAGATTCTCGCAAAAACCATTTGGCTTAAAAAATGTGTTTAAAACCCCACCCTGGATTTGAAGCAAAAAGTATTTCCTCGAAATAAGCTAAAAATACCCAATTCACGCGGTGAAAAAATGGATGATTATGGAAGGATTATCGAATTCTTGCCTAACCTGACCGATTTCCCGTGATGTAGGATTAGGGCTAGGAAAAAAGCCCATAACCTGCTCCTGTCGTTGTGAATTTCCTCAAAATCAAAAATTTCAGTAAGAACCGAAAACAACAGCTTAAAGGAGGTGCGCACACCTTGAACCAGCTAGGGAAAAGGGGCTTCTGATTGAGCTAAACTGTCATTGATGCACGGTGCAATTAGGTAGACCCGTTACTATCCCCCGCGCAACCACATGGGGAGTACTTTGAAGCCGTCCTGTCGGAAACTTTCGGGGGTAGGGGGCGGGGCAAATCGAAAATAACTTTTCTTTGTTTTTGTGAAGTACATCATTTCTCGCACGGTTGACAAGGTGACGGCGGAATCCGTACCTTTGGAAAGGCCCTTTTGAAACATGTCCAGGCAACATGCAGGGCATCACGAAATTAACGTCAACACCTTGAATCAACTCCATGAACAGGGAGAGGCGACAAGTCCCATCTTAAAAGATGCTTGATGTCTAGAAGTGAAGAGTCTGTCCACAGACATTTTTCAGTTTGTATTTCGGGACCATTTGACAGCGTACGAGTGAACCGGAGCGCAGTAACGAGCCCTAACCCCACCCCATTGCCCTTGCATTTGCGGTCAATAAATCATCGCGTTTTTCACTTTTTTTATGCGCGTTCGAGAACCTCCAAAGGGAATATTGAGGGTCTTTGTACAGTTTCAGTTTATTTTACCGACAAAAAAGAACAAAACAAAGCAAAAGACAAGTATACAGAAACACGCAGAAGCAATGTGGTGAGGAAGCCCAAAAAGAAACCATAAGGCTTAGGTCATCCCCTTTTCGTTCGTTTAGCATCGAATAGGTTTCCTGGTTTTGGGTGGGTCGGTCGGTGAGGTGAAAAAAAAATCACAAGAAATCTGAGAACGGGAGGCCTGAAACACCAGCATCATTGCCGTGGAGACTGAAAACAACAAGACATGGTCACCAAATCGACACAAACTCAATATGGCGGAAAATTTGATGGTCAATTTCATAAAAAAGGCCCAAAAAGGGTAAAAAGCAAAGAGGATACACCACCGAACGTTTTATGCCTCGAAATGATGTTATAATGCTATTTTTTTAGATTAAAAGAATTAATCTAAGTCCAAAAAAAAATAAACCTTGTCTTTTCTTTTTCTTGCTTTTTTAAAAAATGCCAAAAAACTGGGTCTTTTGGACGACACTAAACGAAGAAAAAATTAATATAGGTATTAAGCTCCCTTAAAGTATAAAAGTAGAAGTTACCAAGGACAGGATCGAACGTATACTGAGTAACTAAATGATAAAAATTTGATCAAAATTAAATGAAAGGCTAAGAGCCTAAGCGCTGTCTGATAACGAAACGGTAAACAAGAAGTGCTGCCTCTCATTTAAAAGAGACGTGAAATACTGGGTGGACCACATCCTGAACTCCCGCGAAAACCGCAAGAGAGGAACGCTCAGGGCTAAGGAGACTAAACAGGAGCGTAGCTACTTGTACGCACGGTTTGCACGTGCGTACCCGAAAACGTTGAGGAAAAAAAATAGAATGAAATAAACATAACTAAAAAAAATCGGTTTCCAGAGAAGCGACGACATTAATTGGAGAACTGAATCTTGGATGATTTATTTATATAGCAAGCTTGATGATGTAAAGCGTGAACGCGTTGTTTTCTCCACGACCTGTCTTCGGAGTAGACGAAGTAGGGCACAATTACGTCAATGTGTGGTGCTTTTGTCGGTCAAAAACAACGTGACAAAAAGGGGTAAAAAGAGTCATTTGTAAACTAAAGTTGGAGGTACTACAAGCTTGATTTTTAATAGCTGAATTAATGATAAACGGTTGATGTCAATGAACATAACAAGCCGACAGAATTAAAGAATTTTAGAGGCTGTGTCATGTCATAAACAGCAAAAATGCTTTTGCTTACAACCGTTAACCCCACCTTTAATAAAGGCACCTTAAGGTGGCTCGACTGGATTTTTTTGAGAGGATATCTCCCAAGTTTGAGCATTAACTACGTCGCCACGAGTAAAGATACGGGGAAAAGATTACAACAACTGTATTATATAAAGAATATAATTTCTTATGATCTGGGTTTTATTGCAATCGGAGTCGCCATGGCAACGTAACGACGCCATTACGTTTTTTATTTATCTTTGTGTTTCTCTGTACCGGGAGTTTTTTTAAGAAATCGCTTAAGGGAGTTTGTACCTGCCATAATTGAGGCAATTATGGCAAAGTTTGTACAAATTCTATGACAGCGTTTTCGAGATCTTTTGAAACGAAGTTTTAAGCATCATAAAAACAGTAAAATAGCGTGCTATCCACACAATTGGATAATTTTTTAAGAAAATGATAAGCTTTGGAAACGCCACTTCATCTCATAGTGGTTTGATTCCATTGAAAACTGCATACAAGAAAAGAGGGGAATTGCTCCGGGCGATCGCGAGTAAGAAGAATCCTATTAACTTGCATTCAGCTGCTTTTGTTACAGTTTTTGCACGTAATTGGGTCCATGCCTACAAATTTGGCATTTTTCAAAAAACCGCTCGACAAATTTTTTTATAAATTTGACAATCCCGAGATCAATTGCCAATAAATATACCCTGCAAGTTTCAAGAACATTGAAAACAGAGAAGGCTTTTAAATAGGACCTCAAATATAACAAAATTTTCCCCCCAGATTTTGTGTTTACAAGTGAGCGTCCTCATTATTCACTGGCATTGTTTCCAAGTTTCATATGCACGTGCACATTTAGCAAAAAGAAATAAATTTGCCATGGCGACTCCGATTGCAATAAAACCCAGATCATAAGAAATTTTCATCTTTATATAATACACTTGTGGTAATGTTTTTTTCGATATCTTTATTCATGGCGACGTAGTTAATGCACAAACTTGGGAGGTATCCCCCCCAAAAAATCCAGTCGAGCCACCTTAAAAAAATGTTGAAATTTGGGGTGGGAGGGGTGGGTAGGGGGGAAGAAGATGTAGAAAAAGTTGGGCGTACCTCCGGAAAAATCCTGACTACGCACCTGCTAAAGCCTGAAACTGAACAACAGGAGTCTTGACGAAACGTCCTCAGTTATCACCTGTCCGGGTTCGTACTTTCAAGGAAACGCTGATCAAGAATCACTCATGACGGAATGAAAACTCCTCGTAGCTTCCAGTGAAAAAAGGAGTGACAACAGTGATAAGCGGTCGTTCTGTGAAATGTAACGCAATCTTTGCCGTTTACAATCTTTCGGCGCTTGGATTTGAAACGTTGTTGTTTGGTATGTTCTCCCGTGTGGATACTTGACATTTCCAATATATGGAAACACCATGCTAAGGTACGAACAACAGACATTCACAACATTGTTTTGTACGCTAAAATCTGATTTCATGGACGTAAAACGTTTTGAATTTTAAGACTTTTTAATATTAGTGCTTTGCCCTCCCTTTGACAACTTCAAGTGACTGGTGCACTTGGCAGGAGTTGACAGCTTAAATCTGCCTTTCTTGATAGCAAACGGCATTAATTTATATCAGATCGCTGTATAAACACGTCTTGGTTTCTGAAAGCTGATAACATGAAACCACTATTGCTCAAACTGATTTCTTACTGTATTTTTCCAAGTTTTTAGCATCGGCCCGCCGCGTCTGGAAAGCTCAAATTTCAGAAAAGTACTTCTTGTATTTTCTGGCCTCAAAAATTTTCTTTTAAGTTGCCCGTAGTTTTGAAAACAGATTTTGAAAGAAGAGATAACGCTCTTTAACGTGGTATAAGACTCGTTACTGAAATCGAGGTACCAGTCGACGATTTTGGGCTTTGAAATTTGCCATTTTTTCATTGAACGAAAACGTTCAAAATATTGAAAATAATGAAAAGTCTCCAAAATATTACACTTTCGTTCAAACTGAGTAAATCACCACTTAAAATGTGTGCAATTATGTACTCTTCTGAATAAGTTATTTGTTGTCCGCATTACAATGGATTTGAATTTTAAAACGATTTTTTTGCGACACATGGTCTCGGGCCTGGAAAACCCGGTCCGAGAGCCGCAAAACCAATAACCCCCCCGTACGTGCAAAGTAATTATCGGATCGAAGTAAAAATTACATTTATGTTAATAGCTTACCTAGTGCTACTTTGTGAATTTTTTTGAGAATTTTCGAATTTTCACTTTTGTAGACCTCTGGTCGATATTTACTGACATTCGCTCTTAAGCTGTGTTAGAAAGCTTACCTTTCATGAAGCTGTCTCAAAACAGGGTCAGCGGTTTTATCTTGCTGTAACCATGTTTGCTGGCTGAAGCGGAATCTGTGACGTGGACTGTTGTTCTTCAAGAAATCCATATAGTGAAGAATTTTCTTGATATTTAACTTTTTAAAATTATCTGATGTCAGTTTACCTGTTGAATAAAATTGAGGCGTGATATGGACTTACAAATAAAATACAAGCTAAGTTTTGTAAGCAATATTCTAAACTGAGATCTTATTCGAATAGCATAAATTTAAAAGAAACAGACATCCTTCCCGCATCATTTGCTTTTTATATCTGCATGAAACTGTTATAACCATACATACCGTCTACAAATTTGTCGCTGATGTCCAAGTCTTCAAGCCTAGGAAGCCGACAAAAAGATTCAAAAGATGATATTGGTAAACCTGTGAATTGACTTAGACATCCTTTTAGCATCCTTACTTATATAACTTACGTACGAAGGTTGAGATTGCGTAAGGTTCTACTAAGGTGAATAAATGTGTTGTTTACTTGGTGCGCTTTCTTCGTGCCGTATAGGCAAACCAAGTATTATTTCTAGTCTGTCTCAAGTCTAGAGGATTTTGTGGTGGAGTTGATTCCGATTCAGGTGACGGAGGAGATTTATTGACTTCAACAATCCCCTTAACGGCCTCCTGGATGTGTTTCATAATCGGTTATACCATAAGAATTGATTCATTTTCCTAGTTTTTCCCAAAGAGTTGGATAGATCGGCTTTCATAGCATACAATCGCAGAAACTTCCGTGTTGCCATACTGAGAGAGTAGGGGCACACTGACACCAGGAATGAGTGAATTTTGACTGGATTACTGGATTACTGGATTACGATTCTCATTCTCTCTTTTCTTCAATAAGGACATTAGTCTTCATGACAAGTATTATACTATAACATCCAATTGAATTATATGTTGTTGAAAGAAATATGAAACAACAAAAACCATTTAGACGGTTAAAAAAATATCTATGGTTGCACTTACATTTCATCCACTTCCTCGTTCTGTAGATAGAGCTGTCTGTGATGCCCGGCAAATTCCTTCACCTTTGAAATTTTAAAGATGTCAATTTGTTGGTCGGGTTTTTTAAAAGTAATAATATGAAAAATGTTTAGGAAGGAATAAAAATCAGGTAGCGGATGAAAGTCATAACGCGAGACAGGAGGAAATCAAGCCAATTGAAAACTTGTTTAAATGACTGTTACACAAAAGCTACCTTCTATTGGGTGTTTTGACTGCGCCTTTAGGCCGAAGTGCGTGTCAAACATTGAAAACGGAGGACTCAAGACTCCTTTCTCTTTAACAAGAACATACCGTACCTCATCAGTGTCAACATAGCCATCTTTGTTTGTATCCCACGCCTCAAAGTTTCCAGCAAATATCTGATGATGACCAAGTGTCCAATTCCTGTCTGCAAGACAGTTTGCGACGTTAACAAACCGTCATGCACTGAGTGACATTGAAGAGGTAGAATGATGTCTGATAATATGACGCTTGACCGAGGGTCCTATAGGGTTTTTCAAACCCTTTTCCTCAATCTCGAGGTCTCGATTTTTTTTTTCGGCTAATCCTCATCTTAACAGAAGTCCCAGATTCCCTCATCTTCGGAGAACCAATCGCGGGCAGATGTGGGCAACTTATGATAAGTCAAAATGAAATAATTTTTTTCTACTTTTAAGAAAAATAAATAAAGATCACCTTTTCCAGACAATGCCTATAAAACAATATTTCCTGCATTCTGTTGATACAGTATTAATTACAAATGTGAATCCCAGCCTTAACACACAAAATCCCTCTGAGGACCCTCTTGAGTGGCGCCATCCAATTGACAAATAGGCCAGATAGATCGTAACTTATATTAGCCTGCGCCACAGACGAACCTAAACTCTGGTTCAGTCCGTCTGCAAAACGGCGCCAAAATTCGGTTTTGGGCCCCAACCTGTGTACCAGGATTTGAGTACGCGCCATGATTGGTCTATTAAAAAAAGCCATTGTCGATTTGCCAATCAGTATGAAGGGAAATTCGACACTCATTTCCGGTAATTCGCTGAGTGCCGTTGGGGGCCCAGAACAAGGATTTCGGCGCTGTTTCGCAGACTTTCCCTACCTGGGTTAAATTAAATCTGCGATGCAGGCTAATCGTAACTATGTGTTAAATGAAAACGAGTCAACGTGTGGTTAATCGCCTTTTAACCCCGGTAAGGGCTCTTCAGCTCCAACTCACATATTTGCGCTCCTCAAGAGCTTACCCGTTGAGTACATGACAATGACTAATGCCGATGACTGAGTCCTAAGTGCTCGACGTTACAAAAATATTAAGCAGAACCTTTTAGCTAAAGGTTCGGTTGACTTTTTCTTTCCTAATTAACAAAACATTGACATTTGTAGTTTTCGACTTCAAGTAGCTCTTCCTCACCAGCTGTCTCCAATTCTCTGTCCAAGTTTCCGTCGTAGTTGAAATGGAAACCAGAGGTACTAGTCCTAAGCCCGCTTTTTCCAGCCAGTTCTATGATGTGATCACACTCTTCAGATGACAGGAACTCTGGAATTTCTTGAAATTGACAAAGGGGTAAAATTCAAATTGGCAGTCCCTATTGTAGTCACACTACATAGAAATAATAGTTACTCATGCAATTTTCATGACAATGTCCAAAAATACGTTTATGTAAAACTTAAATCAATATTTACTGTATGGAAAATCGTCAGGTAAAAAAATTCCTAAGAAGTACTAACCGAACACTAAAGGTGTCATTGCTCGTGTGATAAGTTTTACAAATCTCTTATCACTGACCTTCACCCACTGCAAGTGACCTGTCTGAAAGTCAGAGAAAGATGGGTAAAATAATCAAAACAGCAAGGTGTTAATGTCGTAGATTGTATCACTATATCGTTATAATTGTATCATTGTATCTTGAAATTTACATATCATGGCTAGCTATTCGCAAGGCTAAATGGAGCAATCTGATTGGTTAATTTACGGTCACGGTTTTACAGCACAGACTTCACCACGAAAATAGTCCTTTCGCATAGTTTTTCTTAAGTCCCCACGGGAAATTGAAGCCGTTAAAACACAATTGTGCGAATTCTGAATGGCAGCTTGCTCTCGCCGCTTTTGGTTTCTAAAATGCTTTTCAGTCGTTAGTGTACTCTCTTTGGTTCCGTCCACTAGCAACCCGTATTTGACCTGCATCACCACCAGCTCGTTCCGATTGTTTCTAAGTTTCTACAAAAAATCATTTCTGAGGCGCCGCATTTGCGTTGAATAAAGAAATTTAACCGATAAAAGAAAGCATTTTAATTACATTCCCCTATTCTCCTTTATAAATTAGAATTACCTTGATACCATTCAGCCTGACGAGCTTGAGTTCCGTGCCCAGTTTCTCATGACACGACTCACTGGGATCTGAGCACGTGTTTTCAATCTCATCGCCAACAAAACATGGCTTCATAAATTTCTTGAATTCTAAACCATAAACATAAGAAGTTCTAAATGAAGAATAACAAACCACAAGGAAAAATATACATCCAAGAATTGTCATTTTCTGTCCATGATGGCAAGTTCACTTTCAATATGATGATATTTGTTGTATTCTTTTTTTGTTTGCCAGCGTCGGAAATTCCTTATTGATTTCATTAACCGCAATCCAAAAACATTGCATGCTCAAAAGACTGTGGTCCACTGATATTTCCAGTTAAGAATAATTCGTAATTCCTGCTTTTTTTAACTTAAGGATTTTATTCAATGCTTTAATACCATTAATACAAGTTTTATTTTTTGTTTTAAAGTACTTCGTGGGTCAGAGATCGAACGAAAAACCTCACTAAAAGGAAATTTTTATCTTGCTCGTGCCAGAGACAGCGAGCTAGGATTTAGTTCTTCTTTAAAAAAACTATTCATTTTGGCGCCATATTCCGCAGCGCATTTAGAAGCAAAAACTCACGCTTCAAGAGCGGATGCTTCCCCTTCGTCTGTTTTAATCCTTTTCCAAAAAAGGAAAGACGATTCACTTTATTTTGGTGCTTCTACAAACATGGAGTCAGTTGAATCAGTTCTCCAACCGACTGATTGTTTAAGTCTGTGAAAGCTTCCACCGAGTGAATTGATGGTATACTGTAAAGCGATAGTTAGCTGGATTCGTGCATATGCGTGACCCTTTGCATGTTGGTTGGTTGGTTTTTTGGTCTGGAACGTTGTCAGTTTGTCAATAATTAAGTAAGTTACATCGTCAGGAAGTGTACTGAATCGTCTGTTTTGAACACAGATGTTGCTAATGCTGAAATCTGAAAAACAATTCATCGCACGAGAATCGGCTTTTTCGCCAGATCGCAAGCGATGGATTTGTAACATTGTAACTGCATCGGTTTGATTTCAGTTTGCACTAAATCGAAATGCTCTACGCTTCTGTTATAGCCTAGAAAAAAATATCACGGCAATTTAAAAATGCTATAGAACAGCTAAACACGCAGAAAGGTTTATTGCCAAATATTTATCATTTTGAAGAAAGATTTAGAAAAATTTGTTTCTACGGTATGAACTGCGCAAGTCGAGTATGATACTAATAATCAGAATTATGGTAGAATGCGGTTGAGGTTGTCATTTTACTTTTGCATTTGATCACTCATATGTATACGGCATAACATACTTATTTACTACGTTAAGAATAAACTTGAACGTTCATTAACACTACCTTTTCAGGAAAAAACGTCGTCATTCTTTGTCAACTCAATTTAGTTGACACCAGGTTCTTCGAATCGTAAGCGGCGCTCTGAGGATTTTGTTACTACATCTGGGACCGCACATAGCAGTTAAATTTATTATCTTTTACTCGCAATATCTTTAAACCTCTTGGTTCTAAGGTATAGAGAAAGTCGTTGCTATAGGAATTTTGTTATCTCACAGTTCATACGTGAAGTTATAAACTAATGCTGAAATTTTGTGCCAAAATTAAGGAACTTGTCAACTATGAATATCTTCCTCTATTAAACGCACCTGGTGTTAAATTCAAAGTTGGTCACCTGCCATTTGCTCAAATTTGCTGTCTATTCGGGCCTCTTTTTTCGGAAAAAAAAGTTGTTTTTTCTCTTTTTTTTTTTAAAGCCGTGTATTTTGCTTTTACACCGTAAGTTTATTATACCACAAATACAAGTCCATAGACTGAGGTAACGTCCCTTAAATACGCGGCGTTTCTATTTTAATTAATATTATTCAGCGCGCCCGGCCGTTTTATTGATATTATTGAGAAAAGGCGGTTTATGTATATTTTTCATCTTTGAGTACTTAGTCATGCTTGGCGAGAATACAAACACCATTTGTATTTTACACAAATTTAATTTCGCTTTAGTGTTGGTGGTACACAAACAACATCGCGACTGAATGGATCAGTCACGTTTAACATACGCCCACCCTGGGTCCTCAACTCGCTATGTATTCCGGCACAATATTTTAGCAAACGATTGTTGTGCCAAACTCGAACGGCAAAAATAAACGAAACTGTTTTAGTGGATCTAAGTTTCCGGAATTTTAAGGAAGTCCGGTTTTATTTTCGGCATTCTGTTTAGAGTCTACTGAAGGAGGTCCAATCAAAAACGTACACACTCGACGTTTGCTTCAAATCTTTTAAATAAAATATCATTAAATTTTCTATTCTGTACAGTCCTTTATGTTTCCAGATGTTTCCGATTGCTTACAATGTAGGGCGAATATGCTGTTATGTCTGCATGGTGTTATTTCATACTAAAATAGCAATGTAACAGCATGACTCAAGTAAAAGACTGGATTGCATGTAATCAAGATCATGTGCTAGCAATAGTAAAAATTTCAAAACGGCTGTCAAATGAAATTCTCCAAAGAAAAACAACATCTTCCTCAAGTAGGCCCCTATATTGACAGCCTGAAAACATATAAGTAGGTCGAATACTCAAAATTCATTTTAATTTGACAGCTAGAACAACGGAGAAAAATCTTTGCACCTGTACAAGGAAAAAAACAGACGAAGACAGTTTTTTCAAACAAGCTACTCCAATCAATGGCAACTAAAAGTCTAAACAAGAACGAAACAAACCTTACGTGTTTTTTCCTGGAGGTTTTCTGGCGACAATCAAGTCACGGCACTTTGAGTATTATATCGTGCGTTGTTAGTTCACTGTTTGCCTTGGCCGCAGTTTTGGGTAATGGCACGATAATGCTTGTAATTTGGAGATCAAGGCAACTTAATTCGACATCATTCACGTTGCTCTTTTGCCTGGCGTTTTCTGATTTCCTCGTTGGACTGCTTGGTCAACCGTTCTTTGTCGCTTTTAAAACAGCGGAACTACTTGGCAAGTTCAACGCATATTGTAAGCTGAGACTGTCGCAGTTTTTCATTGGGTGGATAACTGGAGGAATATCTTTTGCAATTCTCAGCGGAGTCTCCATCGACAGACTCCTTGCATTGACTCTTCACCTTCGATACAAAACCATTGTCACAAATCGAAGAGTGTTAATGCTGGTAATATCAGTCTGCATATCTATTTCTATTGTGACGATTTCAAAGTTTTGGATGAGGGACAACTGGGTAATCATGCCTGCAACAATATTCTCGGTAACGACCCTAATGACTGCTGTAAGCACATTTCAAATCTTCCAGATTGCTCGCATGCATCAACGTCAAATATTTCAACAAAACCAAACTTTGGGTCGAACAGACGACGGAACAGTGCACGTATTGAAATGCAAAAAGTCAGCCGTGACGGTACTTTATGTTTATGGACTGAGGCTAACTTTTTATCTTCCGTTTATTTCAGTTGTCATGATTGAAACGATATTAGGTGTTACTCAGTCAGTTACTCTTGCTTATGACCTTGCTACAGCCACCGTTTTTATAAACTCGTCGTTAAATCCTTTAATCTATTGCTGGAGAATGACTCATTTAAGACTCGCTGTCAAAACGTTTCTTAAAAATTTAATCTGCGTTTAGGTTTAGGTAAACTCGTTGGGGAAAATTATGTTTTTTTTGTTCGATGAACTTGTATTTGACGGTAAATTCACTAGACCCACTTAAATTTAATGATAAGCAATTTTTAATGTTGCAAAGTAACATTCCTTTCTAAAATACTTCTTTCATTGTTATTTTTTTTTAAACTGGCTTGGGCAGCGAGGCACCTTGTTCTAAAAGCTTATCTTTCTTTTTTGGTCAGCAGATTCAAAGATTATAATTTGATAATCTAATTATGTTTCTGGGGTGTGCTGTTGAACTACTAGATAGTTGCGAAAAACCTTGCTGATAGCTAGAAACATGGAAATTTTGTAAATATATTACTTGTATTGTTGAACATCTTACTTCCCATTCTGGTCATAAGTAAAAACGAAAATTCTACAGATGGATTTTACTAATTGTCAAAATATTGACATTTTATGCTTCATGTGCCTTTCACATGAGTGAGATCTGTTTCCTGGGATACAAAACAATAACGAATCCATTTTGGAATGAATTTGGCCACAAGAGTAGCATTTTATTTATTATATTTAAATCATGCAAACCTGGAAAAGCCCATATGAACAAGAACATTAACCCAGCAAAGGTGAGGGTACACTCACCATCTAAAGGACAAGTACAGCCAATGGGTGGGAAGGGAGAGAAAATCTTTTCTAATATCGTTTAATCCACTCTCTTGCAGATAACTGAATCAACAAGCGGTTACAACTAACATTATTATTCATTCAAAATATTTCCCCAATTCTGATTGGCTAAAAGCACAGCGTCACGCATAATTCACCATAACCAGTTACTGATGACCAAATTTGGAAGAATTTTGGGTTTAACGAGGAAATGACGTCAAAAATGCAGCCTTCTACAGGTTAATGAACCGTTAACCGAGAAGACCTGGGGACGAGATTGAGTTGTTTTCGTTGTAAAAACTAAAATTGCGGACACTTCGCTCGTTTCAAGAGTATGAACTACAGCTGGAACAAGGCGAAATAATGGCTATTAAAAACATAGCAAAAACAGCAAGAAGACAACTCGGTGGGCGACATCTGCTATTTGGAGAATATTGGCGGAGCTGGACAAACCTAAACGTAAACTATCGAAGATAAACTTTACATCGATGCAGGTAAGCTTGTTTTAGCTATGTTTTTAAACTAGAAATAATTTTGATTGAATAATAAAACAATTATTGAATTCGGCTTTCGCATCATATGAAGAATTATGGAGATCTCGGAGGGTGTTATCCGCCTCGGCCTACGTACGGCCTCGACGGATAACACCCTCCTCGATCTCCATAATTCATCATAAGATACTCAACCTCATTCATTAATTGTTAAATAATGCTACATTAAAGCTCTGTATTAATTATACTACTTAAAAAAACTACTTATTAAGAAGATAATCATGACGGATACTTAGACGACGAATATTTAAAAGTAAAAAAGTTCTCTGATCTCTTAGTTCTCATGAACTTATTGAATGGTCGAGAAGAACTAGGGGCCCGTTTCTCGAAAGTCCCGATAATTAACGGGCCCGGTAAGCTGTCTCCGTTTACATTAAACATCGAGGTTTCAATAGTTTTGCATCTAACATGATAAAACTGTCAGTTAATGAAACTAAATGGAGTAGTTTGCCAGCCAGGACCCTCGCTCTTATTCTTTATATTTCGATTTGAATATTTGATTTCGGGCCCGTAAAGTTACCGGGACTTTCGAGAAACGGGCCCCAGGGCCCATTTGTTCGAAGGCCGATTAGCGCTTAACCCGGGGTTAAATTTAACCTGGGTTTCTTTATCTTGCGTTCAAAAGCATTTTCTCGGCCCAGGTCTAAGGTTATAAGGTTTAGTTCTTTGTACAGCAGTGGACACCAAGCACTACAATGGGTGGTCACGGTTGTCTGTCATCTCAGCCATAAATTTATGACATAGGAGCTCGCGTCTGTTGGAAAGTGTAGTTTCGTTGGCTAGCGACAATGCTTCACTGTACGAACTGTAAGGCCACTTTCAACAGGTCTTGTTCTTGCACGCCAGCTCGCTTAAATAGTCTGAGAGCGTACAGTTTCTTTGATGCCTTAGCGGTACAATATAGTCAACATGGCAGTTCCATTTCAAGTTCCCATTAATGATTACTCCAAGCAGTTTGTACGATGAAATTCTTTCTACCATTTGGTTTCCTATATACAGGGGTCTCATTATAGTGTTCGGATTTCCCATAAAGTTCACGACCATCTCCTTACAATTTCTTGGGTTAAGCCTCATACTGTGTTCCATACAATAATTTTTTTTTTATCTCAAACAGCAAAATCCAACAGGCTACTCGAGTTACGTGGTACTACTTCAAACACGGTCGTGTCATCAATATACTTCAATCTTGAGTGCCAGTCACCAAGTACTATTAATCATTATAGCAAAAAGCGTAATTCCAAGTTTAGTTCCCTGTGGAACACCACCATAGGTGTGGCGCCATGGAGACAGGGAATTACCGACTCGCACCGCTTGGGTTCGGTTGGTCAGAGAGGCTCTTATCCAGGGATAAAGAGTCTGATCGACATTCAAGAAACATAGTTCTTGAAGGAGAATGTTGTGATCGATTTTGAGAAGACGGCAAAAATATGCGAGCACAGCAGTTTCCTGTGTCAAAACTGCCTCGTGTATTGCATGGAGTAAATAGATCAGTGCTTGTGTTGTTGTCCTTCCCGAGCATATTTTCTTGGGTCAATATCGCAATTCACCTGCTGTTTGAGTAACCTTCTATGGATGAAACCTTCCAAGACTTTAGCTAAGCAGCTAAACTCTATGCAACTCGCATTCGCTACTCAAGAATAAACTTTAAGATGTCCCGGGTGGCGAAAACTCCCCCCACTTGCAGCTGGAGAAATGTATTATTAAACAGTCACATGAAGCATAAAACCAATCTTTCAGGAATTCATTTCAAGACAGGCATGCGCAAGCCAAGCTGTGAATCTAAATGGTAAACATTCAGTTTAGTGGGATAGTGGCAAACAATAAAAATGTAAGCAATGAAATCAACGGAAGTTTAAGCTTAATAGATTTACCTTTAGTCTTAATCACTCTATTCTGATGAATTATTTTAGTTATTTAATTCTGCTTTTTTTTGGAATAAATAAATACTTTCTCTAGATCTCTGACGTCATGCGGAGGTGATTGGCATTGGATTTGTTCTTAAAAGTGTAAACCATGATTTAAGATATTCAAAATTTGAGTTTTAACCCTACCCTAACTTTTCTCTGCAAATTTCCAGGAAATCATTTTTATACTATGGTATTTAAACAGTTCTTAGCAAGATTATTGTGTTCTTCACCGCCGGAATATGTATGCAAAAGATTTTTTTTAACTTTACTGGATTAGCCATGGTATTCATGGTATTGTTAAATAAAAATTAAAAAGATTAAAACTTAAAATCTTTGTGACATTTGGGTGTCTCCTGATTTTAAGACTCGCGCTGTTAAGATGAATATTTTAATTGTGACTTCTGTCAGTTTCTGCATGTTGTATTTTGAAACTGTCCTTGGATTTTCTGGTCAAGTCTGTAATCGATTTCCTGAGAGTTTACTGTCTTTTTACAAAATAAAATTCTATGTGGTCCAGAAGTGCGGCAACCTCAAAGGCTTCACAGCCATCAGCGTTGAAAGCCACCTTGCTTTACTTGACTGCATCGGAGGTAAGCGTGTTCAGAGCTCTTGCTGGCTTCGCGAGAGATTTCGTCATATATGAGGACATATGTTGCAGCGTGTACGAAGGAGTTAGAAAAGTGTACAGGGAGTAAAGGGCAGAATGTTAAACTTTAAGTCAATGTTTTCTTAAGTCTGAAAAGGCACCTTGTTAAAGATACTTGATACTTACTTGCATACCCTGGTAAGACTCAAGACAGAAGCAGAAACGAAAGCAGAAGTCGACATTTTGGCGTCATGGTAACGCATTATTTATAATTACTGTACATGTCATTATATGGCCCTGATAATGGTGTCATGCACTTATCAGCGGCCATCCCGGGGGAGGGGGGTAACCCCGGGGACATATGCGGGCATCGCGCAGGATTTGTCAACTTTGTTCGTTGGTTTTAAGCCCGGGATGAAGGGATTGGATTGCTTTTGCACTTTCGTAGCAGGATCTCCGGGGGAAAACCCGCGGGAGTGTAGCCCCACCACCATTTTGCAGATGGAACTGGTAACGAGTGCCGTTCCCGCCTTCGAAAGGACTGGGTATGTTGGTGAACACGTTCTGGCAAAATGGAGACAGAAAAGACGGTAAACGACTTTCACATTTTTCTTATATTCTGTTTCTTTCAGCTGGCCATCGGTTGCTTACATAGCTACTATATTTTTCGGAAGAAAACTTGCGAGTCCTTGTATAGAACTCTTTTGAAATATTGCATTTTTTGACTTGGAAAAGCACACTTCTTTGCCCCCTGGAGGGGGGATTTCTAAACGTCGTTGTACAAATGACCTGGGGCTCTCCGGGGTCACCCCCCGGGATGGCCGCTGATAAGTGCATTACGATGAAGCCGAAACATTGGCTTTTTACGCTCTTTAATGTACGCGTTTCTGTTTCACGAATATGGCAAGAAAGATCAAGAAACGCTACAGTCAAGAAGACTTTTGCAGGGACTGATCAAAAAACGTCAAATAGAGTGGTTAGTTGGGATATTTCGACTGGCCAAAGAAAAGTTAAAGATGGAATTAACTTTAATTTCAGCTTTTCTAGTTTCACTAAAGTCTTTTAAACTTTTGTGCACAGAGCAAAGGCATAGCATATAGTAAAGAAGAACTGAAGAACTGTTCCTAAACCTCTTTAAATATTTTTTTTACCCACGTCACTTCATGAATAACTTTGGCGTTGACGCTCCTTCAAAATTATTGAAAGTTAAAATGTTAAAATGACATGTACATAGTTTACCCTTCTCCCAAAGTCACTTAGCTTATCACTGAGCCAGGCTAAATCATGTGAGAGATTTGATTAGTTTCGCGTCTTCCTACTTATTCGAGCCGGAGTGATAAAATGAGCCGCTTGCCCGTGGTTCTTTACGCACAACATTTTTGACAGCCCTTTGTATTTCTCTGATTCTCCAACAGTACACAAGCGGATTCAAAGCCGAGTTGATAAAAACAGCAGTTGCGGCGTAGTCGTAGGCAATCTTCACTGAAAGCGTATATCCAATAAAAGTTTCCACGATCATCGTTAAGCAGAATGGGGCATAAAAAATAAGGAACAGTCCATAAACGTAAAGAACAGTCACAGCTAGTCTTTTGAATTTCAGTACGTTCCTTAAGTTAGTTGGTACTCTATTGACAAGGACATGGTCGTGAATCTGACGCTGGTGTCTTTGGACGATCCGAAATATCTTAGAGGTACACAAGGTTGTGACGAGAAATGTTAGAAGCAAGAGAACCACCGGGAAAAATAACCACCCTGTGCTTACCCAAAACCGTAGCATAACAATCGTTATGGACAAGATCCAAAGTGCGAGAACTGTTTTTAATACGCGAGGAACAGTAACGACCAAATTGTAACGTAAATGCAAAGTGAGAGCAAGGAGACGATCGACGGAGACTGCAGCTAAAGTAAGCAATGACACACCAGAAGTGATCCAACTCGATATGGATTGAAACATTCTTAATGTACAATACGCCCCAAAGTTCTCCATGTGTTCTGCTACTTTATATGCCACGAAGAACGGCTGACAGATCAGTCCAACAAAAAAGTCCGCTATGGCAAGACAGGACAAAAGGACGAAAGATGGCGAATGGAGATCTGCTGCTTTGAAGATTGCCCGCAAAACAATATAATTCCCTACACATGTTATCAAAGAAAATATTGAATTGAGAATGCTTGTTAAAATATTTGCGATTGACGTTCCAGAGGTTTTTTCTAAGTTGGTGGCCAAAAAGAAGCACTGAGTTGTTACTGTGGTGTTCATCACTTGCAAAACTTGAAAAGTCTCGATTTATCTCGTGAACACTTTTTCATGACCGGATCGATTATTTTTCTGCGATGTAAAATAATGTTTTATTCATTGATACTTTGTAAAGCAATATAGCAAATTGGGTCTTTTGACAGCCAATCATTTAAAGTCTAAAGTCTAAAGTCTAAAGTCCGCCATTCAATTGACATTTGAATTCAATGAAGGCGCAAAAAATATAACTTAGTTTCCTATTTGTAATGGTAACAGGACTGAGTGGAGTCCAATTCGGTCTGTAATCATACGAGTGATTAACAAAACCGGACGACCACGTAGCGGGAGTCCGATTTGTTTAATCACGAGTATGACTTACAGACTGAATTGGACGACACGAAGTTCTGTTACCAGTTAATCATAACTTTAACAAAATTTGTGATATGAGGCCCTTTTTGAAATCAAAACAGAAATTCCAATTTTTTTGCTAGTAGTTAAAAAAGCCATTTAAGAGCGCGCGTGATGGCGCGCACTGTCCTATGAAATTGTGCAACTAAGACTAAAATCAGAGGGCAGTTGATAGCCAATCAGATTGGAGAATTTTGTTATAGTTATGATTAGCATTTTTATAATCACTCGAAGCATTCATTTCGGTTAATTATCTAAAAGAAAACTTTGTCTTATTCAGACATTTAATCATACAGTTTTATCAACAATTATCATTCTGAGAGCTCTACTTTCTAAGTTTCTATTTTTCTTTCGTTCCTGTGCATGATGTTCAACATGCCTAGGTAGGTTCTCGAGGACATCTTACTACTCATAAACACTGACAATAATGGCGTAATAGGTCTCCGTATTAACAGCTGTATTTATACAGGAGGCCTATCAAATTCCCCTTTAGTTGTCGGTTAGCCACTGGGCGCGCCCATGTAATTTATGATACTCTGTGATTTAATGGTCTTGCTGCTGACCCCCCGCTTCTCTCTGAGAAAATATTTTGAAATTTTGCTCGTTAATTTTTTGCGCTGTAAATTTGCATATACAACTGTTGAATAACCCCCTTAAACTAGAGCTGTACAAATTTCGCATTCGTGATGACTCGAAGCGTTACGTACTCCACCACTTTGAAATTGTCTTCTTTCACCAACATTGTTACTAGCAAGAACTTTTCGTACAAATAGAAAACACAGAATACATTAATTTTTACAATGTTAATGTATGAGACAACATTTATCGTGAGCTGTAGGCATAGCAATATATTAAGTACTAAAAATAATTGGGAGAAAGCAATAAATGAGACTACAAAGTGTGTAAATAACTAGTTATAGTTATCGACAAGTGCCAACGAGCAAGCAGGGAGGACAAGGTTGGGCGATGAAAGAAGCGCTTCCGAGCAAAAAGGTGTGATGCGGTAGACTGGGATCAAATTATGGACTTCAGATCAAAGTGACGGCAAGTTGCAAAACTTTCAGCACGCTCATTGGCAGAGAGCAGCAGAGAGTTTAATTTTTTTGCATGTGCAAAAAGTTGAAATTGAGCGCAGAAAGTTGAAATCAGTTAAATTTCCGCCTCAGGTGAGTTGAGGGTCTGTCAGTAGAATATTCGACAACTTTTTTATGTATGTTTTTTTTCGGTGAGGATAAAGAAAGTGTAAACAGACGTAAGTCATAAGCCATGTAACCACAAAGCAATTCTGATTCATTCACGGGGCATTTTGACGAACACTCCAGTCGAAATTAAAGAAACCAGAAGAAACAAAAGCCAAATAGCAAAATGCAAAATTCTTGACTGACAATCAAAACATCAAAAATGTCTTGAAGCAAAAGCAAAAGCACTTTTCATTAAATGGAGAAAGCAGTGTGACTGAAGTGTAGCGGAAATTAAAATCTATTTTAAAACCTTGTTTTTTCTTTGTTTGCATTTGGAAGGCGAATACTAGAAGAACATACCCCACATAAAGCCTTTTTTTTACAACCAGACAACTAAGTTTTCAAAAAAACTTCTCCCTGTTTTTAAAAAGCTTGTGTATTTTAAATCCGGGGCCATACATCGTCTCAAATTTATCGTACGAGTAACCGTAAGAAAATTAAAATAATTATGCTCGTTAAACGAGGCAAAAAATGGAGTAACTCAAACTCACATGAGATGCAATTCCTGAAAGCTAGTAAGTGAGGTTAGAAACGCTTTAGTTTTCTCCTCACTCTGCTGTAAAAGCCTGCATGAACTACAAAAAAAGCCATTGATGAAACCCCCGTTTGTTGTGACGCTTTCCTCAACCAAAACCCAAATAAGTAAAGTCTGAAAAGACACCTAGTTAAAGATACTTAATAGTGCAGCTCCACGCGTGGCGCGAAGCGCCGCGCGTGGAAGAGCCCCATAGCTAAGTAAATCTACCCATCCCAGAAAATTTGGTAATGACGTGACCGTACACCGAGCGTCCTTCCGCACCACAGGGAAACCAATGTTTACTAACGCACTTTCTAGCTACAGTCTCAGTCAAAATGGTTGGGACACTTTGGGGTCTCCTTGTCCCCTCAATGTTGGTGTACAAGATTTGGTGACCGAACCGCGATAAACAACTTTGAGAGGGACGAGGTGAGTGCGAGAAGGGAAAAAACAGCGTTTGGCTAAAGTGTCCCAACTATTTTTGTCTGAGACTGTGTCGGGGAGGAATTTGAAGGCGCGTTGACAGATACAGAGGTTAATCTGTAGGTCGGTCACAAGCGACGGGTTTTTGGTTTGTTGGGCGTCCATTGTGTTTCGCGAACGTTTCTATAGCAGTGAACTAAGTTATTTGGGCATAACAACATAACACAAAGAATGACCAGTTCGCAGAAATTTCTTGGGCAGAGTAGCGTATTGGAAAATAAAGGGAACCGAGTGTGCAGTAAACCGTACACAAATAGCTTTCTAGTGGCCGATTGATAGCGTGACAACATAGCACGTGCATACTATCTACGTAAGATTCGGGCTTTTCGTACCACATTTCTGGACAAAATGTGTGGAAAATAATAAAGAAGGTCTCTTTGCCAAGAAAGAGTATAGGAACAAGGCTCAAAGGGACGCCTTTCTAACTTAACGGCAAGAGGCGAAAGACAGCCGAAAGAGCGATTAAGCGATGTCAAGAGAAAGGGGGAAACTTTTTCTCCAGTTTGGAGGAAAATGCAACAAGCCAGGATTATTCCCAAAACGTATCAGCGAGAACAGTATCCCGCTTTCTAAATTTCTAAAGATACTATTCAGGACTACAAGCGCGTAAAAAGGGTGTCCAACAATAGTGTAACTGTTTGGTCCGACGCCAAAAAGTTTCTTAATGATATTCCAGGCTACTGCTGTGAAATCGACAACTTTTTATAACTTGTTTACAACATATGTTAATTTGGCCTTGCGCCAAATGGTGACATCGGTTCTCATTCTTTACCCCAAATATACACTTTCCTGAAGATCTCTAAAACAAACTACTGTGCCATAAATGTGGGACTTGAGCTCCAAAACATGAATCATATCAAACGAGGACAGTACCTATACTTAAAACCTCAAAAAAAAGCGTTATACTCGACGTGTACACGGGTCACCGTACATTAATTCAATTAAGATATTATAAGTTTCTTTCAGCGAACAATCGTGTCACCATGATCAAAGTTTTAATAACTTGTCTTACATGTATCAAGGCGCTATAAACCTTAGCTATTTCAATTAAGTGTGAAAGTCCCTTATCCTTTTCTTTCTTAATCCTTTGTATATACCAGAGAGGTCTTAGAAAATGCCCTGGATAGTACGGTGACCCGTTATGGTGACCAGTCCAATCGTGCCTCCACCGTTTTTTTTTTTTACGTTTCTTTACCCCCTGGAGGGGCGTTAGAAGCATTTTTGTTAAACAATCTTGGTTTTGGATAGAGGGGATTTGTAAACGTCGTTGTGCAAATGCCCGGGCGGCTCTCCGGGGTCACCCCCCGGGATGGCTGCTGATAAGTGCATTACGATGAAGCCGAAACATCGGCTTTTTAAGCACTTTAGTGTACGCGTTTCTGTTTCACGAATATGGCAAGAAAGATCAAGAAACGGCTTATGCATAATTTATGTCTAGGCGCGGCATGGATTGATTAATAAAGAACAAATTGAAAACGTTACAGTCAAGAAGACTTTTGCAGGGATTGATCAAAGAACGTGAAATAGAGTTTAGTTGGGATATTTCTACTGGCCAAAGAACAGTTAAAGATGGAATTAACTTTAATTTGAGCTTTTCTAGTTTCGCTGAGATCTTTTAAACTTTTGTGCACAGGGCAAAGGCATAGCATATAGTATAAATGAAGAACTGTTTCTAAAACTCTTTAAATATCTTTTCTAGCCACGTTTTCATGAAAAACGTTGGCGTTGACGCTCCTTCAAAATTATTGAAAGTTAAAATGACATGTACATAGTTTACCCTTCTCCCAAAGTCACTTAGCTTATCACTGAGCCAGGCTAAATCATGTGAGAGATTTGATTAGTTTCGCGTCTTCCTACTTATTCGAGCCGGAGTGATAAAATGAGCCGCTTGCCCGTGGTTCTTTACGCAAAACATTTTTGACAGCCCTTTGTATTTCTCTGATTCTCCAACAGTACACAAGCGGATTCAAAGCCGAGTTGATAAAAACAGCAGTTGCGGCGTAGTCGTAGGCAATCTTCACTGAAAGCGTATATCCTGTAAAAGTTTGCACGATCATCGTTACGCAGAATGGGGCATAAAAAATAAGGAACAGTCCATAAACGTAAAGCACAGTCACAGCTAGTCTTTTGAATTTCAGTACGTTCGTTAAGTTAGTTGGTACTCTGCTGACAAGGACATGGTCGTGAATCTGACGCTGGTGTCTTTGGACGATCCGAAATATCTTAGAGGTACACAAGGTTGTGACGAGAAATGTTAGAAGCAAGAGAACCACCGGGAAAAATAACCACCCTGTGCTTACCCAAAACCGTAGCATAACAATCGTTATGGACAAGATCCAAAGTGCGAGAACTGTTTTTAATACGCGAGGAACAGTAACGACCAAATTGTAACGTAAATGCAAAGTGAGAGCAAGGAGACGATCGACAGAGACTGCAGCTAAAGTAAGCAATGACACACCAGAAGTGATCCAACTCGATATGGATTGAAACATTCTTAATGTACAATAAGCCCCAAAATTCTCCATATGTTCTGCTACTTTATATGCCACGAAGAACGGCTGACAGATCAGTCCGACAAAAAGGTCCGCTATGGCAAGACAGGACAAAAGGACGAAAGATGGCGAATGGAGATCTGCTGCTTTGAAAATTGCCCGTAAAACAATATAATTCCCTACACATGTTATCGAAGAAAATATTGAATTGAGAATGCTTGTTAAAATATTTGCGATTGACGTTCCAGAGGTTTTTTCTAAGTTGGTGGCCAAAAAGAAGCACTGAGTTGTTACTGTGGTGTTCATCACTTGCAAAACTTGAAAAGTCTCCATTAATCTCGTGAACACTTTTTCATGACCGGATCGATTATTTTTCTGCGATGTAAAATAATGTTTTATTCATTGATACTTTGTAAAGCAATATAGCAAATTGGGTCTTTTGACAGCCAATCATTTAAAGTCTAAAGTCTAAAGTCCGCCATTCAATTGACATTTGAATTCAATGAAGGCGCAAAAAACATAACTTAGTTTCCTATTTGTAATGGTAACAGGACTGAGTGGAGTCCAATTCGGTCTGTAATCATACGAGTGATAACAAAACCGGACGACCACGTAGCGGGAGTCCGATTTGTTTAATCACGAGTATGATTACAGACTGAATAGGACGACACGAAGTTCTGTTACCAGTTAATCATAACTTTATCAAAATTTGCGATATATAAGGCCCTTTTTTGAAATCAAAACAGAAGAAATTCCAATTTTTTTTGCTAGTAGGTAAAAAAGCCATTTAAGCGCGCGTGATGGCGCGTACTGTCCTATTAAATTGTGCAACTAAGGCTGAAATCAGAGGGCAGTTTATAACCAATCAGATTTGAGAATTTTGTTATAGTTATGATTGGCATTTTTATAATCACTCGAAGCATTCATTTCGGTTAATTATCTGAAAGAAAACTTTGTCTTACTCTGACGTTTAATCATACAGTTTCTATTTCTCTTTCGTTCCCGTGCATGATGTTCAACTTGCCTAGGTAGGTTCTCGAGGACATCTTACTATTCATAAACACTGACAATAATGGCGTAATAGGTCTCCGTATTAACAGCTGTATTTACACAGGAGGCCTATCAAATTCCCCTTTAGTTGTCGGTTAGCCACTGGGCGCGCCTATGTAATTTATGATACTCTGTGATTTAATGGTCTTGCTGCTGACCCCCCGCTTCTCTCTGAGAAAATATTTTGAAATTTTGCTCGTCAATTTTTTGCGCTGTAAATTTGCATATACAACTGTTTCATAACCCCCTTAAACTACAGCTGTACAACTTTCGCATTCGTGATGACTCGAAGCGTTACGTACTCCACCACTTTGAAATTGTTTTCTTTCACCAACATTCTTACTAGCAAGAACTTTTCGTAAAAATAGAAAACACAGAATACATTAATTTTTACAATGTCAATGGATGAGACAACATTTATCTTGAGCTGTAGGCATAGCAATATATTAAGTACTTAAAAACAATTGGAAGAAAGCAATAAATGAGACTACAAAGTGTGTAAATAACTAGTTATAGTTATCATCAAGTGCCAACGAGCAAGCAGGGAGGACGAGGTTGGGCGATGAAACGAGCGCTTCCGAGCAAAAAGGTGTGATGCGGTAGACTGGGATCAAATTATGGACTTCAGATCAAAGTGACGGCAAGTTGCAAAAATTTCAGAGCGTTCATTGGCTGAGAGTAGCAGAGAGTTTAATTTTTTTTCTTGCAAAAACGTGGAAAGTTGAAATCAGTTAAATTTCCGCCTCAGGTGAGTTGAGGGTCTGTCAGTAGAATATTCGACAACTTTTTTATGTATTTTTTTTTTCGGTGAGGATGAAGAATGTGCAAACAGACGTAAGTCATAAGCCATGTAACCACAAAGCAATTCTGATTCATTCACGGGGCATTTTGACCCACACTCCAATCGAAAGAAACCAGAAGAAACAAAAGCCAAATAGCAAAAAAAAAACAAAATTCTTGACTGACAATCAAAACAGCAAAAATGTCTTGAAGCAAAAACACTTTTCATTAAATGGAGAAAGTAGTGTGATTGAAGTTGGGGAAATTAAAATCTATTTTAAAACCTTGTTTTCTCTTTGTTTGTATTTTAGCCGGCTTCGCATTTGGAAGGCAAATACTAGATGAACATACCCCGCATAAAGCCTTCGTTTTACAACCAGACAACTAAGTTTTCAATAAAACTTCTCACTGTTTTTAAAAGGCTTGTGTATTTTAAATCCTAGGCCATACATCGTCTCAAATTTATCGTAAGAGTAACCGTAAGAAAATTAAAATAATTATGCTCGTTAAACGAGACAAAAAATGGAGTAACTCAAACTCACATGAGATGCAATTCCTGAAAGCTAGTAAGTGAGGTTAGAAACGTTTTAGTTTTCTCCGTTACTCTGCTGTGAAAGCCTGCATGAACTACAAAAAAGCCATCGATGAAACCCCCGTTGTGACGCTTTCCTCAACCAAAACCCAAATAAATAAAACACAACAAAGGAATCTTGGTAGCAGTTGTATTTCTTTCCGTGGCGGCAGTGAAAAAACATGAAAAGTTGATAACATAAAATGACAAAAGACAGCAGTTTTCAGTAAACAAATTTCTAGTTTCTGCGTTTTTATCTTTCAATATTCACCGGCCAAAATTTTGACCATTATCTTGGTCGAAGGTGTCATTTGTAGGCTGCAATAGGGAGCGGTGACAAGCAGTGACACGTAAAGAGGAAAAAGTCAAATTTTTGCATGTATTCACAAGATTTTGCGCGTGCAATTTGGGATAAATCAGCACTCGTATAAATTTTTCAAAAACCACAAATTGCACTTGCTCGCTCTACTGGCTCGTGCAACTTGGTTCGTAAGTAGTGTGTAGAGGTCGTGGGTCGTGGGTGTGGGTGTGGGTAAATGTCGTGGGTAAAAAAAGAATAGAAAAAATGATATAGTATGAAGTAATTGAAAAAAAAAATAAGTAGAAAAAAGTTGTGAAATATTTATGAAACGAAGATCTCCAACTCCTTGATTGCCCTTTTCGTCACGGCTTCTTCTTCGTCCTCTTCCTGATATTTCCTTAGCCACGTAGGACTTGGCTCCCCTTTCACACCATCACTGTATAAAAGACATTATATATTGTCGATGAAGATTTACCCATACCTGAGCTATCGTCGCGAGATAAACGAAACAGGCAAAAATTATACGTGCAATTTGTAGAAAGTATGGGGCAGCTCTGACTCGCTGAATGGAAGTAGGTGCTCACTATTAATCTTTATTCGATCTACAATTCCAGTGATCAGAGGTTTTTTTTTTAACACAATGGCATGCGATCAAAATGGGTAAGGGGAGGGGGAAAGGACAATTTTGACCTATTTCAGAGAAGATTTAGGCTAGCTAATAGCCCAGGAAGGAACCACATGCATGCTCAACCTTTCAAGTTAAGGCGAGACTGTATGTTAATTTTATTGCCGTACGGAAATGTACTTTTTTCGATTCTTTTTTGTTTTGTTTTGTGTACAAAACTATCTTTGCTGTAACGATCGATTCTAAATATCATTCGTTAAACTGAAAGGACGTTTCAGTCACGAATGTTGACATCTTTGAGCAACCTCGTCCCCAGGGCGCTTTTCCCTGGCTTTGGAGGGAACGAGGGAAAAGCGCCCTGGGGACTGGCGAGGTTGATCTTTGAGAAAAATCAGTTCAGTCTCCAGTTTTTCCATAGCTTGCTTCAGGTTTACATAGTGTACAGAGTTGCTTTTATTTTTCACCTAAATGCCTTTTTAGTGGGCGTTTGAATAAAGGATTCGCTTATTTGCTTCGCTGACCGAGTGGAAGGGGAATAGGACTGGAATGCACGCGGAAATTTTCATTTCATGAATTTTACAACTTTTTTAATTTAATTTTTTTTTTGAAAACTTTTTTTTACCCACGACATTTAACCACACCTACACCCACGACCCGCTATCCACGACCCACGACATTTAGCTACACTCGAGTTCGAGTCCTCGTAATCATGTAATTACCTAATACAAATGTCATGAATTACCGTAATTTATGAAAAATAGTGTGAACTCAGTAGACCTTATCACAGTTTTGGAAGCCATCTTGATGAGTAGGCAACCGTGTGAGAAATTATAGTGTTTGTATTATTATAATCTAATGTCGAATAATATCTGTAAAACAGCTGTTCTGAAAAATTGTGAATTGTAAACTAATTAAAGCTTCACTCCTCCTACTGAAAAAAATCTGAGAACGTCACAGGCAGCTACATGCGCTAGAACCACCTTTTAGAATTTTCTATACATTTGTCGGTAAAACGTTTTCTTCCTGCTGACTAAAGTTTCCCGGGGAAAATTGCAGACAAATACATGAAAAATGTAAAGCAAGCGTTTGGAGAAACTTAAGCACAGGAATGGCCCCAAAAATTTGTCAGAACAGCCGTTTTAAAGAAATTATACGACATTAGAGTCTCATACAAACTTATACTGCAATTTCTCACGCGATTGCCTACTCGTCAAGATGGCTTCCAAACAATTGACAGGGCATAGTCGATTGCATAAGCGAAAACGGCCTTGAAAATAGTGAAGTAAACTGATCTATTGCAGTAAAATTCGTGTTTTTGTCAGAAGTTGCGCGCAGCGGTCATTTTGCGTAAAATTTCGTTGTCTTAAGCGAACTTAGAATCATCGAAAAATCATATGTCTGCGAACAGGTCCGCGAATATTCAACGTACAGATTTATATTTGGTCTAGGAAGTCTACTTTTCAGAAAAAAAAGTATTTATGGTGCGCAGATGAAGCTATCCTAATATATTATTTGTCTTGAAAGACACTGACAGTAATTTTTCCGGCGTTATAATTTTTTCCTAGCGGCATCAACAGCCAGTGTCTTTACGAAAAAAATAGTTTGAACTCAATTCGATTGCATAAGCGAAAATTACCTTGAAAATAGTGAAATAAATTGTTGTACTGCATAAATAATTTACACAGCATATTTTTCTTATATTCTCTGCTCTGTATTACGTCATAAAAGTTACCTTACACTACGTTATGTTACATCGCTTAGAGATTCATCCTGCATTGGAACTTTCGCGCTATTAGTCAATTGCTAATAGTTCGAGTTTCTTTTTGCCGAAATTCTCGAAGATGTTGACTCTCCTGTTCAACGGTTATTGCGAAACTCTGATCAGTGTTATCGCATAGCCTACGATTGTTGTACACTAACAAGAGAGAATGATACTTTATTTTGTG